AAGAGGTACGATGTCTCTCCAACGAAAAACAGAGCACAGCTCTAAAATTCCTCACTGGGACATTCAAGTTTACAGCCGAGAGCAACTCAGGGCAATTCAGATAACCTCTGTCCTCTGAGCAACGTACCCTATGTATCTCAAGAATTTTCTCTTTACACGTTCAACTAATTCAACATAAATTTCATAATGTGGTGGCCACACACAGCTATTATTTTCAAGATGGGAACGAACCAATGACACAGACAAACACTTGAGAGCAGAAACATTCTTAAAGTCTCTTGTGTGTCTTTTGATAAAACCCAACATTTTCAATGCTTTATTTCAACATGCATAAATGTGTTCAATGACAATTTTGCATCGAATGCAACACCTAGGTCACGAATACTAGAAACATTTTCAATAAAATATCATTTATGTTATAGTCATTTAGTTTGGGAGAATTTTTCCTAGAGAACTGAATATATTTGCATTTCTTGCCATTCAATGTCATCTTGTTCTCAACACACCACTCATGGAACCTCAGAAGATCAGAATCACACCACTCCCGGGACGGAGCCATGGGGGGGAAACGCCCCCCCTCAAAGTTCCTAAAATATATCGAAAGTTGGGAAAACTTGGATAAAAAATTTAAAGTTGGGAAAAATTGGTAGACAAAAATTTGCACACCTTATTTGCGAGGACTAATTAAAATTAATATTAGGATCATGTCACGTGTCGTAATGACCTGCAAAATCACCGGACAACAGGATGACGAAAACCCAATGGTCGCGACGATCTCTTGACGAAATCGTTTTTTTCTCATTTTATTTGAAATGATATTGCAAAATATTAAATAACCTCCACATTCTCATTACCACTTTTCCTCCACTACATGATGATGTTATTAGATTTTTGATCAGATGTTTCGTTTCTTCGTGATCATCATCGACTTTGTTTTTTTAAATGGTTAAATGAACCACGATCTCTATAGACTGCATCCTTATCCAGGACACCCTGTATACATGCCAAAATTTTTATCAGTTTTTGAAGTAAAACTTCTTAGGCGGCGGTCTGATATTTAGACGAGAATATGGAGAGTGATTTGAAAGACGCATCATATAACGTCACGTTCTGGCCATTTGTTACACGAGAGACGAGAGAGAAGGCAGATATAACGTAAACTGTAGATAGAAAGAGAAAGCGAGCCAATTACAATGACAGACCAGGAACGATTGACATAAACCAAGGATTATAAGTAAAGAGGATTGCTTATTATTGTCAAGCGCCGATACCCTTGTGACGTCACTATAGATGCTCGTCTCCCTTTTGTGTGGCTCTTCGTCTTTACCCCGACTCATGCGCCAAGTCTAAAAGCTGTATGAGGGAGGGTATAGTTTTTAAAAAGTTTCACTTCCAACACATGTACAATGCTACACATGATTTTTTTGATGTGAAACTTCTTAAGCGGTCTGATTTGGACGAGAATGTAAACCGATTTGAAGGACGCGTCACGTTACAAGTAATGACACGTTTTGGCAAATTTCGGTACACGAGAGACGAGAGAGAAGAAAGATATAACGTAGGGAGACGGAGAAAGACAGCTAATGACAATGACAGCCGATGAACGATTGACACAAACCAAGGATTATCAACAATTAGGATTGCCTATTATTCTCAAGCGTTGATGACCTTGTGACGTCACTATAGATACGCGTTTTTCTTTTGTGTAGCCTTTCGTCTTTATACCTCGACTCATGCGCTATTATGTGTCTAAAAGTTGTATGAGGAAGGGAATAGCTTTTAAGAAGTTTCACTTCCTAACACGTGTGCGATGCGATGCTAAATATGATTTTTTTTATGTTTTAATAAAGTTGGGAAAATTAGGAATGTCATACCCCCCCCAAACCAGCGGCCTTCGCTACGTCCCTGCACCACTCAAAGAAAGTTTGTACCTTGCAAACTTGATAAAGTCGTGTTGAACACTCTCAAGTCTATTGATGTGGATCTGATAGTAAGGTGACCAAACTATGCATGAAAATTCAAGAACGGATCTGACCAGTTATGTGTAAAGAATTTTGATAGGGCGTATACTCGTAAAGTCCCTAGTAGTTAATACATCTATTCTTGCACCTTAATTTATGTAGGAGATGATTAAATAGGGTTTACCAAAAATAGATCGCAGTAAATGTTCTTCTCTGGTGGGCCATCATTTAACATTTCCTTGGAATGTCTATTCTTAGGGAAAGCCCTATGCTGTCAATAGTACCCAAACAGCCCTATGAAAATGTATCCTCGAGGTGCTTAGTTTCCATAGGTCTAGGATTGGGGCATTGAGTGGGGCTTCTACAGCATGACATTCACCTTAGGATCTTAGTCGTACTGTAGCAAGTCACACCCAACTTGGAGAGAAACTCTTTAGGGCCTGTACCCTTGAGAAGCTTAAGGCTGTGGACACTAACCTCTGCATGACTGCATTGCGGTGTGCGTAATTTATACAAGAATTATTGCTACCTTCAACAGAGTTAGTTAATTTTCTCTAGTACAAGCGCCAAATTCATTTTATTTTTATAGTCTGTGGGCTTGTAGACATTCATGAGTTGACAATATTTCCAAAACAGTTGAACTAAAGTATAGGGTATATCACATGCAATCTACTCAGAATTTTACGTAGAATCCAAATATGCAATCATATACAGAGTGTCTCATGTCTACTTCCCGGTGTAACCGGAAGTGCCACCATCTTGAAAATATTTAAGCTGGGTTACCCTTATTTACATTAGTATACTTTCAAACTTTCAAACATTTTCTGCATACAGTCTTTCATATGTCCCACAATCAGTGCTATAACTTTCTTAATTTAAGAAATAGAAATTTGAAACAAAAAATCGATTAATGGCTAGTTAAGCTCTCTTCAAAAATATAAAAAAAATTTACCCTGACAAAATCATCCCATATTCAACACCCTTGACTTTTTTTTTCAAATGGCCCCCCTATATTTGTTTTTTATTTTTGAGAAGCTCATGAAATCGCAAATTCAATGATGTATAAAAAGTTTGTTTTTCTATGTTTCGAAAAAAAATTAAAAAATGAAAATAATAATAATGGGGTTCTATTTGAAAAAAAGGCAAGAGTTGTTTTTAGGGGATGAGTTTGTTAGGGACGATTTTTTCTATATTTTTGAAAAGGGGTTAATTTGCACGCAATTAAGGTAAAGTACCCAGTTGTTGACAGGGTCCCAAAAGTTGACACATTAGCATATTATTCCCGAAAATAAGAATTTATATAGGTTATAAGCTAACTGAAATAGCTTATAGTATTGTTGGAGCTATCTTTCAGGCTATAGCTGATGTATGAATTTGAAATGACAAGTTTTTTCAAAATTGTGGCAAGAAGTAGTGAACAGGTGCAAATGTTTGAATTTTTTCCCAGATTTCTAGTGAAAATAGTTAAGAAGATATAAAAACAAAAGTTCTCAAAGCTAAGGTAGGGTTGATAAATTATGAAAAATATATATTTACTGTATAATAAGATACATTGTAATACATATTTATTATTGTTTTATCTCTTAAACAACTGGCATAAACTTTTTAAGGGGGGTGTCAACTATTGAAGCCCAAATCGAGGGGTGATCCAAATGTTGACACTAGTGTCAACTTATGGCTTTTTGGCGGTAAAAATATTTTAACATTGTAGTCTGTCTCTTTTTATTGCTCTGGATTAAAAAGAAACCTAGATATGGGTTTGGGGAATGTAACGGTCGTAGATCCAAAAGATGACACCCCTGTTACCTACCCCTGTCAAGGTTTGGAGTGTCAACAATTGGTCCTTTCAAGTTTAAATGAAGAGATGACGCATGAAAAATGGAAATTGCTGAAATATGCACCAGAACTACCAGAAGACGTGATTGCTGCATTGGATGATTGCGATAGGGGGCTCACTGCAGCTACAGCAGCAAAAAAACACATTGTACCAATGCTTTCCAATCAATTTCTCTTATTAGCAATTTGGAATTGAAATTTGTATTTTTTTCGCAACAAAAAGTTTCCCAATGTTATTTTTTATTATTAAAAAGTTTGATTCTTACATTTTTGATGTTTCTACCAGGGTTTCTACTGATACAGGCAACATGTCAACTATTGGTTTCAAGAGTGTCAAGTAATGGAACCACAACATGTACTTAAAAAAAATTAAAATAACTGGTTATTATGTGCATATATTTCATTTAAAAAATTGTACACTTAGAAAAATATACCTCTTAGTTCCACAGACCGTGATAAAATTTCCTAAAAGTAAAAATTTGGTTTTGTAAAAAAATATATGTCAACCTTTGGATCAAAAATGTGTCAACTTTTGGCGCAGTGAACTTTTTTGGGTGTCAACTATTGGGGTTTTATCACCTTTCAGGTATTTTTGGCATAATAACACAAATAATAGGAATATAGAGTAAATAATATATCTACACATTCAATTATGAGTTTGAAATCACGCTAAAAAATATATCATAGCCTTGGGATTGAAAATTTGGAAAATGTGTGGTGATCATAAGCAAGGATACCCTTAACATGTCAACAACTGGGTACTTTACCTTAATGTTTTTTTGTCATACATATTTGTGTTTTTGTAGATAAAAAAGTGATCGCCTGTGTAAGGGTAATTATGGGACACCCATTTTTTTGCCCCCCAAGAGACATGGAAAAACAAACTTTTTATATACCATTAAATTTGTAATTTCACGAGCTTCTCAAAAATGAAAAAATAAATAATAGGTGTGCCATTTGAACAAAAAAGTCAAGGGTAGTATTCAGGGGATGATTTTGTCAGGGATGGATTTTTTTTATATATTTGGAGAGAGCTTAACTTGCCATTAATCGTATTTTTTGTTTCAAATTTTTATTTCTAAAAATAAGATAGTTATGGCCTGTAACGCTCATTGTGGGACACCCTGTATAGATCGATTTGTTTCCCGGTGGGACACCCTGTATAAAGTTTGAATTTTTTGCTCAAACATTTTGGTTTCTTAGTGGGTGGTATTTACACTGTGATCAGGTCAAAAGCGTATGTCTCGACTGAAGAAATGGGCGATCAGTATTGTCTTATTGGGCCCTATAAGGAACAATGTGCAAGAACTGAAGTTGAGGAAGGGCCACTTTCTTCAAATACTCTGAATAGGGCGATTGAGACTTGTAGAAATAAAGGGTATAAGGTAAAATGAAAACTTAAAACAGTTAAGGTATTGTCGTATTGATATCTTTTTCATAACTCGGCCTGGTTTATTCATCTTCCCATAAACTTGCTTTATTAGTAACTATCTACGAGACAAATATACCACTACGGCCGACCGTAGATTACGTTTTCATCTGTTAGATTGCAATACTGCATCACCTGATAGTTTATCAGAAGGTGAATAAACTAGGCTCTATTAGCATTATTATAGTTTTCTATATTCTGTTTCCCTTTCGTTAAGAGCAGAAAACCTCGATAGGTCTGTTTTCACACAAATCACGAACCAGTCAGAGCGTTTTTGATTGGTGCAAATCGCCAAAAAAAAAAGTTTTCCAACTATTCTCAAACAATGAAATTTGTTCTGACTGGACATAAGGAGTAGGAACGTACCAAGGGGGGATATAACTCAAAATAGGAAAAAAAGTTTCTATGAATATCGCTTAAGATGATTGAAACAAGAAAAATAAAAAAACGTAATTTCAAGATTGAAAACTATGATGCCATAAATGAAAACGACTACTATCAACAGATATAAATACAACAATTGAAGAATAGCAACTCTTCGAAAGCACTATTACAACAATAGATCATTTCTTTCCAGAAAAAACATGCCAAACTATAACCATCAAAAACCATGGCTCAATCAGATTTTTTTCAAAGAAATCAACAGAAAGCGAAAGCTATGTGATAAGTATGTTGAAAATAAAACCGACGAAGGCTACGGCATATACATAATACAAAATAACAAACTAAAAAAAAAAACAATCTCCGAAGCAAAGCAAGGAAAAGCTATGAAGAAAATCTAGGAAAAAATGACAAACACTTCTATTCTTATATCAAGCAAGCAAGAAGTCAGGTACATGATTTAATTCTACGAGATCCAATAAGTAATGAGCTTATAAAAGATTCAAAGATCACTGCAAACGCATTCGCAAATCAATTTCATTCTGTCTACACCAGAGAAAACCTTACAAACATGCTAACATTGCCCATGAAGACCATGAACAATAATCAACTCACTGACATTAACATAACAACAGAAAAAGTTACCACAGCTCTAAGTAACCTAAAAACTTATTCAAGTTCAGGCCGAGATGGGATACCATCTATATTTTTGAAGATATATGCAACATCTATAGCATCCTCATTAGCCCAATTATACCAAGACTCAATAGACAATGGAACCATACCAGAGACCTGTAAAACAGCTATAGTGATACCGATTTACAAAAGTGGTGATAAGAGCGATCCATTCATAGACCCATCAGCCTGACCTGTACAGTTTCCACAGTACTTGAAGAAGAAAAGAAATTTTGTAAAAGAAACAACATCCTTCTCAGAAAATGAAATCATACCTTCTACACAGTATGGCTTTATGCCAAAAAGATCTACTACAAGTACTACAACAAATCTTCTGAGCTGTCTAGACGATGGATCTACAAATCAAGATGAAGGCAAGCCAATAGACGCAATATATCTTGTCTTTCAGAAAGCTTTCGATACGGTACCACTTGAGAGACTCTGTTACAAACTAAGCCATCATTGAATAAGAGGCAAGTACCTGCAATGGAGTAGCTCCTTTCTTTAAGCAAAGAACTTTTTATGTCCGAGCAAATGGAACCAGCTCTTATTGGTACTCATTCGTCAGTGCAGTACCACAAGGATCTGTGCTTGACTCTCTATTTTTTATAGTGGACATTTTTGATCTTTGAAAGATCATACAAACCAAAGTAAAATCCTTCACAGATGACAAAAAACTATATGGAAAACTTTTAACACAACTGCATCCATTAAGGAAAGAAATGAGTACTATAGTCTCTTCTAACAAAAAGGAAACAGAGTGTAATTAGCATTATCTATTAAAAATAACAAATTTATTGTAAGTCAAAGTTTGAAAAGAAATTTATTTCCAATATGTAAACAAGATTTGAACTAATACGAATCAATAATTTAAAATTTAATCAAAGTTATGCAATAACTATTAAATTCTTCTACTTTTTATCATTCTATTATTTAGATTGTAACAGGAAGATGGTTAGTTGATGGAAACCCCCAAATCATCCTTTTTGATATCGGAAGCGCAGCATGGAAGTTAGACGAGTTTAAGCAAGAGCTATGGGACAAAACCAACATTGGAGTGCCGCATTTGGACGTCGAAGCTAACGATGCTATTATTTTGGGTTATATGGTTGCTGATTTTATTTCTGAAGTAAGGAATTTCTGACCTTTAGAGCTATATTATTTTTTTTCAATGGATACAACAAGGGTTACTTTAATTTGCGGATAGTAATTTTCGAATCTTGATATTTTTTCCTGATAAATTCTGATTTTAGCGGCAATTTTGCAAAAAAAAAATCAAAACCACTAACAAGACTCCTTCAAAAGGATGTTTCATTTAACTTTGACTCAAAAAAATTCCTTCAACGACCTTAGAGAGGCACTTATGGCCGTTTCCACCAACTATTTAAGGGGTGCTCTAACGATAAGTATTCCCTAAAATGACATTTTTACATGGAGAAATGTCAGTTTAAGGCATTCCTATCCTTAGGGCTTTCCTAAAATAGTTGATGGAAATGGCCATTATTTCTGAGTCTGACCACATTTTAATTAGAAAAGATTCCCTTCCACCTTTGAAATCATTGGATCTGGTATTTTAAATTTCAATTCTGCATATAGCAATTCACACTTCCACAAATCACGAAAAGGTTTCAAACTGCCTTAGAATTTACCATTTGCTCTTTTGGCACTTCTTATATATTCCAAGTATCTTTCAGCCATACAATTCCTAACATGTTTCACACTTTTTCCTTCCAAAATTGTCAATACTGGAACACCCAAAAATTGAACTGATCCTGTTATATTTTTCACAGCACCACTGGGCCCATAACCTCTCAAAATATTTCAAACTTGAAAGTGTTGTTTATACATAAAGTTTGTTTCGCCAGGGTTTGTACTTGCCACCAGCATTTGCCTTCCTTGTTTAACAAATAAAAATTGTCTGAAACAAATCAATGATGTCAAAAACGTTCGTCGGTTCTTAAACCAGAAGTCATCCATTTTAATTTGTCAAAAAAATTGAATGTGTCATATGAATTAATCTACGACAACCCTTTTTATTTAATTTTCAAGGTCAAGTATGAACCCTGGTGAAACGAACCTTACATATTTTATATCAGTGGCTCAATTAGGGGAATCAAGCTTGCAGTCCCTGGCATGTACAATATGTCTATTCAAAGTAACACACAACCGAGCACACAACTCTAGTGTGTTTTGACTTTACTATATTTATTCAACAGTCATTATGAAAACCTCTTTTTTAGTTTAGACAAACGGCTGAACAAGATGGGGATGGAAGCCCACCGAAAATAGTGGTGCATTTCCACGAATGGCAAGCCGGAGTAGGTCTGATAGCTGTGCGAACCAAACATATACACGTTGCCACAGTTTTTACAACCCATGCCACTTTATTGGGAAGATATTTGTGTGCTGGAAACACGGATTTTTATAATAACTTGGATAAGGTAATTAGGACACGTCTATGTTTTCAAAATACACATATGCTAATTTCCTCACATGTTTTGAAATAAGTTCAGTACATATAAGTAAATGTTTCCAAAAAAAACTAAAAGAAAACACTATAATGACTTGGTGTCACTACATTTTTTTGAATTCACTGGTCATATTCTATTCAGTTCGCAGTAGATGAAGAAGCAGGAAAAAGACAAATTTACCATCGATACTGTATGGAAAGAGCAGCAACACATTTATCTCATACTTTCACCACTGTTTCTGACATTACAGGTAACAAATTACACAAGTTTTCTTTTGTATATATTTGTCTCAATATTTGTACTCTTTTCTCTAGGCTACGAAGCAGAACATTTACTAAAACGCAAAGCTGACGTCATAACCCCAAACGGTTTAAACGTGAAAAAGTTTTCAGCCTTGCACGAATTCCAAAACTTACACGCCTTGTCTAAAGAAAAAATCCACGAGTTTGTCCGAGGACATTTTTACGGACATTACGATTTTGACTTGGATAAAACCTTGTACTTTTTCATCGCTGGTAGATACGAATTTGGTAATAAGGGAGCTGATATTTTCATTGAAGCCCTAGCCCGATTGAATCATTACCTAAAATCCTCACACCCTGACGTTACAGTGGTGGCTTTTATGATTTTTCCTACAAAAACAAACAATTTTAATGTTGAATCTCTCAGAGGACACGCTGTAACTAAAAGTTTGAGAGATTCGATATCAGACATTCAAAATAAAATTGGCAAACGAATGTACGAAACATGTTTAAGTGGTAGATTACCTTCTGGTAATGAGTTATTAACCAAAGAAGAAATGGTTAGATTGAAACGTTGTATATTTTCCTTACAAAGAGATGGTTTACCACCAGTTACAACCCATAATATAGTTGATGATTGGAATGATCCTGTTTTGAGTCATGTAAGGAGATGCAATTTGTTTAACACAACACATGACAGAGTTAAAATGGTATTCCATCCAGAATTTTTGAGCACTACAAATCCACTTTTTGGCTTGGATTATGAAGAATTTGTGCGAGGTTGCCACTTAGGAGTCTTCCCTAGTTACTATGAACCTTGGGGTTATACTCCTGCCGAATGCACTGTAATGGGTATACCAAGCATCACAACAAATTTAAGTGGTTTCGGTTGTTTTATGCAAGAACACATTGCCGATCCTGAAAGTTACGGTATTTACATTGTGGATAGACGTTATATAGGTCTAGAAGACACTATAAGGCAATTGGCTCACTTTATGTACGATTTTGCTCGATTGAGCCGAAGGCAAAGAATCATTCAACGAAACAGAACAGAACGGTTGAGTGACATGTTGGATTGGAGAAATTTAGGGGTTTACTATCGGGAAGCTAGGATGCAAGCTTTGCGTAAGCTGTTTCCTGATTATGTGGAAGAAATTGAAAATTCTATTAACAATATGAAGTATCCGAGACCAATTTCTGAACCACCTAGCCCAAGTTCTAGTAGGGTTACTACACCAGCTGCTTCAGTACATGGTAGTGATGATGAAGGAGATTCTGTGGATAGTGAAGCTGAGGTAAGAATTTTTTTTTTGTCAGTTTATTAGTATTTCTGTTGGTGGTTGGTAAAAAATTGCTTGCATAAGGTAATTAAAATATTATTTTCTTTTCAGCTTGAAGAACTTCGTAATCATCATAAATGAACTGTAAGCATTTTTATTACAGGACTGTAAAGCAATACTTACATACATTTAAGTTTAATAAGTAGAATTATTTAGTTCTGTAAAAGATATTTACTTTCTTCTTTATTTAATATGGATTTTGCTTGTCTCTCTTTAATATCATTGAAATTTGTTAAAAATATTGTTATTTGTTGTTAAAAATTTATATTATTGAAATTTTATTAGAGTTTTTATGCAAAAAATAGTAATTTAAAGTACAAAATTCTAAACTACTTGGTGCAAATCAAATTGTGTGCCAATTATCATTAGTTCCTGAGCTTAATATAATATATGCTCTCAAATGCCTTGAGTCTCTGTGCCATAATTGAAGACTTTTTTGTTTATTTAGTGGGACGTTAAGATATATATTTAATTGAATACTATAAGTTTCTTTGTTGTATTGAGTGCTATGCCTCACTGATTATTTAAAATTTACAATTTTTCGGTAGCTATATGTTTTCTATACATGCATATCTTATAGATCTTACAATTTTTTCTCTATAGGTATAATTTTCTTAATAAGAATATTTGAAAAATATTTTATAATAAGTAGGTATAAATAATTGCAATAAACTTTATATTTTAAGGACAATGGGTTTGTTTCAATCTTTCTTCAAGTCACCAATTTAGTTTAAAGTAAGTTTGTGGACTGACTGTTAAAAAAAATACAATTTGGCTGTGAAGTCTGGAAACAACGTTTCTGTCCGATTTTTTTTTACATGAATTCTAATATTAGCGTGTAGCCATAGCACGCCTTCTGAGAATAATAGGTAAACTAAGAAACGCGAGGCAAAAATATGCCGGAACATCTTTCTGCGAAGGCCAATAAACCGATTGAAGCCAGCTGCATAGGAATTTGTGGAAAGGCCAAGCTGGTTGGTTACTGAATGATCTAATGAAAGGTGTAGACAAGATTGTTCAGTTATCAATCAGTCTCACGTATAGTCTGAATAAATCAATCTGAAGTGTATAGTACGCGAGATGAAGATTACTCAGATACCTACAAGAAAGTGAAGCGCGAATTCAAGAGTCTGGAATAAAAAAAAACACGTGAATGTCTTCTTATCTACCATTTTTATTTCTCAATTTTTTCAAATTTCTTTTCTAGTTAATTCACCGTTTTTCCGTCTCAATTTTTGTCTATTCCCGGCTCTTGAATTTTCCTTTTCTCCTAAATTTCTATAAGTAGAAAAAAAAATTAAGAGCTATGGAAGGCTATAAACCAAAGGCCTGAAGGCGCATTAGGGTATCGTTCATAATAAATCTGGAAAAATAGGACAGGACACGGCGAAGTCCCTGAGACCCATTAGTCTTACATCATTTGAGCTTAAGACACTGGAAAAAGAAAAACCTGTGGATAGGCACATTAGGGACGGTGTTTTGGGAAACAGACCACTACACCCAGACCACAGACCAATATGCGTATCGGACAGGGAGGTGAACAGAAACAGTGCTTCACCAGCTAGTCAGCATAGTGGAGACCACACTGGCAAACAAAGAGGTGATGCTGGGATATAGAGGGAGCTTTTGATAACACTTCCTTCGATTCAATAACCAGATCTCTAAAGCACAAAGGAGTTGAGGACACCTGCTGTGTGTGGATCAACTCCATGCTAAGAGAAAGAATTTTAGAAACACCATCGCAGAGGAGACACTGGCCGCAAGGGTGCACAGGGGATGCCCACACAGGGGGGTATTATCCCCACTCCTGTGGAATCTAGTGGCGGACGGCCAGCTTAAGATGCTCACTGACGGAGGACACCGTGTCCTCGGATATGCTGACGACATAGTCATCATCTCGCGGGGTAAATTCAACTCTACAGTTAGGGAGCGAATTCAGTGAATGCAAGACGCCTTAGAACGAACAACAAGATGGATGGATAGAGAAGGGCTAAACATTAGTCCCAGCAAAACCACCATTGTGGCATTCCGAAGGCATAAAATACAGGACCTGATGGAACCTCTTAGATCAAGGTGTAAAAATATACAGATTTCGAGCAAGTTCTTGGGGGTAACACTGGAATCAACATCTGCAACAGACCACCAAAAAAGCGGTAACATCACTCATGATAGCTGGCTCTCGAGCTGGCTATCATGAGTGCTTGCATAGAAAATTATGGGGCTTAAGACCGGACAGGCCCTATTGGACATAGAGATGATGGTCAAACCTATCTGGACATACGCCTCCCTGGTGTGGTGGCCCAAGAGACTGCAAGGAAGTGCCATACGCCAACTGAGCAAAGTGCAAAGACTGGCCTGCTCAGGAATAACGGGGTCAATGTGATCCACACCAACAGCAGCCATGGAGACCCTCCTAGACCTCCCACCTCTCCATATCGTGATACAGGGGAAGGCAAGGATGGGAGCGTACAGACTGCAGCCGACAACCTCCTCCAACAAAAGGACGGGACACATGGCAATCGTAGAACTCGTGAAGGAAGATATTTTCAATATATATGAGGGCCGACTACATGCCAAGACGATACTGCCTAAACAAACTATTCGAGGTGAGCTTCCCAAGCAGAACTGAATGGGAACATGGCATAACAAAGACCAAAAAACAAGACCAGACCAGGCACACAGACGGGTCGAAGACCGCGTCTGGTACCGGAGCAAGGGTAGTATACTCTGCCAACTAGCAATCACTAAGCAGTGGGAAGACATGCCTCTGTTTTTCAATCAGAGGTATTCTCTATACTTCAATGCGCAGCGCAGAACAAGAGGAGATGAGCCTTAACCAACAGGCAGATTCTAATAATGTCTGATAGTCAAGCGGCACTGAAGGCCCTTTCGAGCCACACAGTGTCATCAAGGCTAGTATGGAAATGCCAGGAAGAACTCAGGGCCCTGGCGGACCAGATAATATGGTGAAACTTATGCCAGGACACGAATCGAAGGCAATGAAAAAGCTGATGAACTCGCAAAGTGAGGGTCAGAGACAAAACTTATCGGGCCAGAACCGGCTCTATAGGGGTATTATACCCCTATAGGCCAGGGCAGTTAGCTGAAAAAATGGCCTTTAGGAGAAGTTTTTGCAATCAAGCTGATTTTTTCACAGATGATAGTACCCATCAATAGTACTCTATAAAAAAAAGTTACACCTCCTAGGAGGCTTACTTTTTCCGCCATGATGAATTGAAGATGGCGGCTGGTGCTATTCTTGGAAAAAATCGTAACTTTCTTATTTATTCGCCGATTTTCGTCAAGTAAAAAAAAAACTTTGTTTTTCTACGAGCGTGCGGGAAATGGCTCTTCCCGCACGATTTTCTGTGCGGGAAAACTTTCTTCCCGCACCGGTGCGGGAAGAGATTTCTTCCCGCACTCAGTGCGGGAAGAGTTTGAAATAATCATTGTGGCATGGAATTGTTTGTATTGTTGATACACCTATACCTGTACCTTTACCTTTTTGAAATACCTTTTATTTACGACTAATGTATAATGTGCGTATTATATTTGTGATTTTGGCAGTATAATGACATATTATGTTATTCCTCCAGGGATTAATGACGAGTAGCGGGATTAATGGTCATTATTCCACAAAAGTGTCAGTGTCAAACGTGTAGTGCGTGTGGATTTGTATTGAAAATTATGAGACGGATGAAATTTGTTCATTGAAAATCTCAAATAAATTAATTTGTCGTAAATAAAGTAGAGTATACTACTCGCAAGCAAAGGCTTAGATAATATAAAATTTTATACTTGTGGGTATTTATGCATTTTTGAGAAGAAACTAATTCGTTCTTACAAGTTTTTTCGTCTGTTATATTATCTGAAATCTAATTCAACGTCTTTTGAACAGTGCGTAAAGTAAGTACTTTACGCACGGTAGTGAAAAATAGTTATTTATGCAACAAGTGTGTAGAGTGAACCTTTTTTCACGAATGTGAATTTTGACAAGGCGAGTGCGACAATCACATGAGTGGAAAAAGGTGCTTTACGCACGTACTGCATACAATTTTTTCTCTACTACCAATCAAATATGTGTGAAAAAATAGATTTAAACAAATACTTTACGAACTCGTGCGTGAAGTATTTTCACTTTACGCACTAGTGCGTGAAGTAATTTACCAGAAAAATACTAGTGACAGTGTCAACAACTGTCATTGACATTACTTTACGCACCAGTGTGTGAAGTGAATTACTTTACGCACTAGTGCGTGAAGTGGAGTTTTACGTCTTTTGAATAGTGCGTAAAGTGAGTACTTTACGCACGGTAGTAGAAAAAAAAATTTTTTTAGCTAAAACCAAAGGCAACTGTTTTTATGTCGTTCTAGCAAAAATAGTTACTTTTGTAACAAGTACCTAAAAAACCTAATTTAGGTACAGTCGTGAGATTAGAAAGTGGGATACTCGACTGACAGGTCGTATCATTTTTCGCTATTTTGGATAAATTAGTATTTTCTCTGCAAAGGATTTAATGTCAATTATGACAATCCCTGTCATTGCCGTAGGTATAGCTGGTGAGCCCGTTTTACAATAGGAAACATTGGGTGTCCCACTTTTAATGCTCACGACTGTACGTGATACGAACAATATATTTTTTTTGTAATAACGCTCCAAAAATTGATAGAGTTCCGTTGACAAAAATGTGGAGTGTTATTTTAATTGAAAAAAATTGAAATTTTGAATTGATGCATTAGCAGGTGTGACAGCGTATATTCGAACTGACAAGGTTGCTATGACGACTTTTAGGAACTAGGCCGAAAATGGAGCCTTTCACGGTGTAGGCCGAAAGTGAAGCATTTTATGGACTGAAATGAGTCCGCAAAGTAGCTATTTTTGAGAGCGTATACAAAAAATAAAGTTTCCACATCCTGCATAAGTTTTTTTTTTGGTTTCTTCTTCTTCCGAACTATTCAACCTATCAGAAACTCAAAAGCTATTTCAAAATCAGAAAAAAAGCGCATATTTTTGAAATTTTTTTACTAAAAAGTAGTTACGGTTTACGGTTCAGAAAAAATTGAAGAAAACCTCAAAGAAAACCAATTCGATTTCTATTCTTATTTTTTTATTTGACAGAAATACAACCTGTCAAAATGATTTTATATTTTTATTTTATTCTTTAGTCAAAAACAAAGGTATTTTTTCTTACTTGACGAAAATCGGTTAATAAATAAGAAAGTTACGAATTTTTTCAAGAATAGCACCAGCCGCCATCTTTAATTCATCATGGCGGAAAAAGCAAGCCTGCTCCTAGGAGTGTAACTTTTTTTTACAGAGTACTATTGATGGGTACTATCATCTGTGAAAAAATCAGCTTGATTGCAAAAACTTCTCCTATTTTTGCTAACTGCCCTGGCCTAATACCAAAAAGTATGACCAGAAGCCACATCAAAGACTGGATTCTTAAAGAACATCGACGACACTGGACAACTTCCAGGCAGAACCATAGTAGAGAAATCATCGACCAACCACGCAGCCAAAGGACCGCAGAACTGCTACAAATGAGCAGGAGCCGACTGAGAGCCATAAAACCGGACGGAAACAATAATGAAACACCACCCAGTGAAAGACCTGTATACAACCACTAAACCTCGTACAAGGCACAAAAATACTGTAGTGATTGGCAGACAATAAGGGCGGGTATTATAAAACTGCTTCGACAGTTAACTTGAAGTTAACTTCTGGAATTACATGTAATTCAAAAAGTTAACTTCAAGTTAACTGTCAAAGCAGTTTTATAATACCCACCCTAAAGCCTAGTACTCAACTGCGAAATTCGCATTTTTTTGACATTGCTTCGACAAATTGACGTTTGATACACGCATAAAACGTCAAATTGTCAACGCAATGTCAAAAAAATGCGAATTTCGCAGTTATGAGTACTAGGCTTAAGTCGGAGGGCTTGGAACAAGGGGAAAAAAGAACTATGGAATAGAAATGTGTACCAATTTTTCCCAATCTCTACTCTTTATTTCTCAGATTTTCCCGCTCAATTCTCAATTTTGTAAGACCCTTATCGATACATATCGATCTAACACTATATCGTATCGATAAGCCCTTCTCTACTGTGGTGTGCTCTGCTGTATTGTGAGGTTATGTAGTTTTCAGTTTTTTTGATTTCTTCTTGTGGATTTTCTGAAAAGTTCAACAAAAGCCTGAATTTTCATCATGTCTCTATCTCAAAAACATGCCGGACTAATATTGGTTCCCTGGTTCAACAGGTATTTATGAAAATTTTGTGGAAAACTAAATTTTTAATGTAAAAACAACATTTTCACTTTTCAGTGAGGAATGGAAATATGTTTACGAATCAATTTATTGTAAGAATGAAGAAAGACAGCTCAAGGCTTTAGAATGGCTTAAAATATGGAAATTGAGAACACCTATACTGTCTGCTGGTGTAGAAGGCACACTTATTTTACTTGAAGCCCTGCTATTGGATACCAATATTATTCCAGTTGAGCAATTGGCCAATATCTACTCTATAGCTTTGATGAGGTAAATTTCAACTTCCTTAAATATATATCAATACTTATAGTAGCTTTCTGTAGATTTTTAAACCTTTCGGCAGCCAACAGCGAAAAACAAGGCTCCTTCACGAAAACCTCAGCCAAAAACGAGCTACCAAAATGGCTTATAAATTTAAGACACGATATTGCTCATGGACATCAAATACCTTCTTTGAATAACCTAAAAATAGCTCTGGATTATGGGCTTGAGTGGCTTAAAAGAAGATATTGGGAGCCACAGAGCAAAATTATAACAGGTAACCTTTTGTTCATAGTCTTCATTTATTTTTAACGAACCGTATTTGATTTAGATTACTATATTGATGAAGATTCAACAAATCACCTATCAAGTTGTTTAAAAGCCTATATTGAAATGAATGTAGCCCTATATGAACAGCAAGAGCTGAAAAATGATTTTATTGAAAACATAAAAAGTACAATTAATAAAAAACTCAACCGTTCATTGATAGATCCTTGTGCAGTGCTTGATATTTTACTGGAAATAATAGCACAAAGCTTAGAGAAAGATCGTCAAATAAATCTGGACATTTTAATTTCAACTGATGGTTTACTAAGAACCTATTTTGAAAAAAATGAAGATGGCAAAGAGACACTGAATATAGGTTTTAGAAATATTTGGCAAAGTTTGTTGAATACTTTCATGCAACATGGTTTGGCACTTGTTATAATTGAGAGGCTTTTTAATGTGATTTCTGATATATCTTATGCGGAAAATTGTAAAAAAATGGCTGCAGTTTGGATAAATGAACTTTTGATTTCGTTAAACAGATTAAAAGAACCTGGAAATGAAGTTCAATTTGATGCAAAACAGTATAATACTTATGTATTAGAGGCGAAAAACTTTCAAAAACGTCTCTTGGTTTGTCCGAATTCTTACTTGGAGTACTTTTTAGACAGGTGAGTTAATTTTTGGATATTTAACAGCGAATTACATTGCAACAGTGTTTTTAATGTACTGTCTATGGTACCTACTGTAAAACATGTACGTATACAGGGTGACTGGTAAGTGGACGTATTCCTTTGAGGAGGTGAAAGCAGAGCCCATTTGCTACCGATTAAACATCATTTACCTCTATACCATTCTCAACGGTTTTTGAGATATTTTTCATTTATATATTTAAGAAATTCACTTTTTTGGGAGGTAAATATTTAAAATTAACGAAATAATAAGGAACATACCTTATTTAGGTAAATGTTAACACCAATATTTGATAACATTTCTATTGTAACACTTGTTATTAAAAACAAATCGAGTAATTTTTTCTTCATATTGGTTACTCTTACAAATAAAACTTATTTATTTAATAATAAAACAAAAGACTAATTCTGAAATAATGTGCCTTATTCTGAAGACAATTATATCGAGAACTTTTATTAATAATTTGTACGTTTGATGTACTATGAAATTTTCGAAATTTTTAAGCATAAAGTAACCATTAGTTTGTAACTTGACAAGGAAAGTTAAGTTTAAAACCGAAATAATTTAATAGTTAATATTATTATTTCAATAATTTTCAATGCTAATATTTGTGTAAGTGTGTCAGCTTATAATTTGAAAAGCGACATTTAAAATTGCTTTTATTATTTTCCTTAATATTAAATATTTACCGGGCAAAGGAGCGAATTTCTTGGAAATTAAAAAAGAATAAATATCTCAAAAACTGTTGAGAATGGTATAGAGGTAAATGATGTTTAAACGGTAGCAAATGGGCTCTACTTTCACCTCCTCCAAGGAATACGTCTACTTACCAGTCACCCTGTATAATATCTATTTTAACACTATATAATGCGATTTTAGCCTATTAAAATTCAATTCCAATAACAATAATTTCAATGAAGATGCCGTAGAGTTACTAAACTCACAATCTGATATTGACAACATGCACCAAGAAATTGGAAAAATATTTACTATAGAAGAGCTTAATTTGGAAGCCTTGCACTATGACGAGGTAAGCTTGAAGGAAAATTATTTCAATTTCCATAACAATGGTGGCGTAATTGTAGCTGGAAAGAAATGGAAGAAAATTGAAGGTATTTAAAAATTCCAAGTTTCAAAAGAAAATGGCTTAATTATAATTATTTTTAGATACGTTGATGTTTAAAAATTGCCCGTTGGGAATTTTGCCCAATCAATTAAGAAAGAAACATCCATTCTTAGAATTAATTTAAGTTTTTTGTAATACACTATTTAATACTTTTAAACTGTTTTACTTCAAGTTATGAAATTCAGCGCTCTACTGCCCTGATAAAATTCCGAAGATTCCATCCAATCGATTATTTTGTTCCCCTAAATGAATGCATAGGACAAAGACAGCGATATAAGCTCATCCAAAGGGCGCGCGCGCGCGAAATTTCCAAACAACAGAAAAGGGATTTTTTTCAAAAAGCTTGAAACAAAACATGATATCCTACTTTATTTGTTAACTAAATTTTAAATAGTTTTTATTGTGTAGACTGTGTGAAAAACGATCCGGAGATTATCTACTTTGTCAGGTAAGCAAACTAGATGGGTATATAATTGAAGAATATTGAATTTTTCTTAAAGTGTATTTGCTACCCTTTATTTGGGTCAAGTATAGGGGTGGCCCCCCACAAATAAAGGGTCCAATTGTGATTTATGGATTTATTTATGACAATAATGATGATTATTATCAACTAGAAACTTCATAATTTATATACTAAACTGAAAAACAAATTGATTTATCTTACAAACAAGATATCTTGATAGTTAAAATATAGTTTAATAGTCTTTCTTTTTTTAGTGAAAATCTTTGTTTTTGAATAAGAAACCAATATTCTAGCTAGAACAGAATAGAAAAAGTTTATGAACTAGATTTGAGGAATCTACTACCTACTAGAGATTTTTGACCCTACACTACACAATATTTTACTGATCAAATTCCAATTTTTCAAGACTAGCACATTATCATATTGAAAATTTTTGCAATCCGTTCATTACTTAAGTACGAAAGGTCTGCTCTCACAGAAATGAGAGACCAGTCAGAGCAATTTTCATTGGTTGAAAATAATCAGAAAAATGTTTGTTGGTGATTAGCACTAATCAAAACGCTCCGATTGGTTTGTGATTTTTGTGAGAACATACGTGTTCTAGAGGAATCTAATTATTCAAAAAAATATATTGGTATTGTTGGAAAATATCTAGCTGTATTGGCAATACATTTAAAATGAATCTGTACTAATTAAATCTTTGGAAAATAATTATTTTTGGAGAAGTCAATGGAGCTGATTGACTCAGCTCCAAAATATGAGATAATCAAAAATGGATCATTAATAATGTCTAGAGATTCTTTCCTACTAATTTCAATAAATCTAATAAGAGGTCAGCCTTCACTTCCGTCGAAGCTTTAATTATTATCGGATGCCTTCAAAATATGACCTAAGGAAATAATTAGGTATTTCCAATTTGGTTTCGGATAGGTAAAACAAAATCAGTAGGCATTAATGAGTTTCGATGCAATTTAAGAAGTTTCAGGAATAAGAGCATTATCCGAAGTCCTTAATAGGGATTTATATTATAATTTTTCATGGAAGAGCATAAACTTGGGCTTTCTTAAACACCCCAGAAATGCGATTGGTCTGGCCAAAATATAAGTATTACAGATTTGATATGCTTCGATTTTCAAGATACATTTTTTGTATGTGAAAGGAGATTTTGCTAATTGCTAATTAGAGTTGACCCGCCATAATACCTCTATTTTACTGTCTTGATAATAATTCTTAAATTTCTTGAGACAACATTTAGGAGGAAACTAGCTACACCCATGATGGTTAACACTAATTTAAAAAAACAAATTTCTAGCCATTGTCCCGCAGAAATGGAGCCTCCAGGCATGGAAACGGGGATGGAGTTCCCGAAAAACCCACTACTCTGTCCCATATGTCACGATTACTTCACTGAACCTTGCATATTGAGCTGCTATCACACGTTTTGCGCTAGATGCCTGAGAGGGAGAGAACAAGATAGAAAATTGATTTGTCCTTTCTGCAGGTAAATTCTAACATTCTTTATACCTATTCCAACTTATTGAATTAAGAAAATTTGCATTCTTTGCTCTTGCCTTATTTCAATTACAAGAATTATCATCTCAAATTTCATCCAATATCTGTATTTCTAGACAACCTACTATTCTAAAAGATGGCACCTTCCTTCCACCCCCAGACACTCTGATGAGACAACTGATCGACATTGCCAACAGTGAAAATCCACCATGTTGCAACTGCGACAAGCGCGATAGAGCCAACATGTACTTTTGTAACACTTGCTGTAAGAAAAAATCATTGAATTTTCCTCCTAATTTAAATGATTGTTTTAGGCCAAGCTCTATGTACTCATTGTAGAGACACCACACATAGAGCAAAAATGTTTTCTAGCCACGAAGTAGTGCACATGACGAAGTGTCAAAAAGAACCTAAACGAGTAAGATTTTTTTACCAAATAATCCTTTCAACCAATCACAATTTTTTAGTGTCCTTTACACGGTGAACACTTCATAATGTACTCATCAATTCAAAACGCAATGTTATGTGTGAACTGTTTCCGTGACTTGCCCAACGAAATGCGAACTCAATGTGTCGACATTGATACTGCCCACACTCAAGCCTCAAAACGTTTAGAAAGAGGCCAAAATGCTATTATGGACTTACAAACTTCTGTCAGAGACGGTATAATAGCCCTCAAAGGCCTTATGGATGAACTAAGAAGAAATATGGACACAGAGAAGCATACAATAAACACTTTCTGTCAAGGAATGCAAGAGGCCATGGCCAAAACCCATGCCACAATGATAATGGAAGTACAAAGACAATATGATAGTAAAGAGAGGATTTATAGAAGCCAATTACTATTGCTCGGAACCGTAATGCCAGTATTACAATTACATCTGGTTTTGTGCACCACATTCACGGCTGCTGCCAATAAGTATCAGTTTTTGGAACTTTGTCCGTCTTTGATTGATCGATTGTCGGCTGTAGGCAATTTGAGTCAACCAGTGAGGTCTTTACAATCTTCCCAGATTAAGACAAACTACAGGAGTGAGTTTGCACAGTGTTTGGAGCCTTGGATCGGGCCTGCGGCTGTTTCTCAACATCAATCAGAACTGGCTGCAAGTAAGAATTTTATTCATTTAATTGGTTTTGAATCATAAAGATGGGTTTCTAAAATTAAGTAGTTACATTTATTACATGGCGTCTTTGGCTAGTTATTTTCCCTAAGGGTAAATGAAAACTGGATTCGTTTCGGGGAATCGGGGGTAATTGAATTTAAGCTGTAGTCAAGTTTGGAAATCCATCAATAATGATCATCACATTTTCAGTCTCGTTTTTGTCCATGGATTCTGGGTCAATGTAAAATTTTCGTGCCACAACTGCATATATTCACCTAACCATTGCATAGAGTGATAGTTTTAAGTAGAATTCGTTTAAAGTTTATCTTGCAGCAGCACGTATCTACGACACAGCCCCTCCAGCTACGAAAAAACAACAGACAACATTAAAGGGCAAAGTTATGGAAGGAGATTCGTCATTTTCCGCTCACTGTAGATCGTTTGAGTCACAAATCAGGGAACTAAACCAGCAGTTTAATAAGGTTAAAGAGAAAGTTGGTGAATTACATAAGTAAGTTTCAGAATATTGCCCTATTTTTGTTATGATGTTTTTTTTTTAAGGGATATAAATGCAATTAGGAAAGCTCAAACTCCTCCGTTGACTGCCAGATATGAAATGCTTTTGAGGGAATGCATTCATTTGGATCAAACATTAGAAAGGTATGCCTATTGTTCGTCGATTTTAATCTGATACTCGGACGGAATGTGAGCTGGTGGTTCCCTACATTAGAACGCCAATGGTTACCTGACATCACACCTGTTTTTGCCATATGAAACACCCCCTCGCTCCTCATACCACAAGTATCAGTTAAAAATCGACGAACAATACTTTCTTAATAGTTTTGTGCATGAAGGCACCACATTACTCTCTCTCTATTTGCATTGAAAATAGATATTTTATCACCTTAAACGTTTGTTATTACATATTAGACAGCAACAAGAGTTGGATCGTATGGCAACAGCCTTCGACCAATCTTGGGAGGAACAAATGTGGAGGCTCAGAGTGGAACAAGAAGTTTTCAGCTGTCAAAGGGCCGACGTCAACACTTTGAGAAACGAATTGAAACATTTGAGTCAAGTGGCCACGCAATTGGAACCCTACATAAGAACCTTAACTCCGGTACCTGCAGGTGGATTGAGTGGGAGTCATAATCCTAGTAGTCAAGGGGACGGTGCCGGAGTTGGTAGCGGGGATCAGGCTAAGCAGTTGGCTAATTTGTTGGAACATATCGGTGAGAAGTTTTTCATTAATATTTAATTTACCTAGTAGTAGTAGAGTCATGGTCAAAATTGGACTTTATCATCAACAATAAAATGAAATAAAAGCTTATATAGGTAAAGTAGTGAATTTTTCATGAATAAGAAGAAGAATAATCAAGTTCTCAGTAACTACACTGCTGGACTGGGCAATAAAATTTGAACTTTGGATACAAATATTTTGCCAACGAATAGGGATATTGATATTGCATACCTGTTTAGTCCAATTGGCCAAAGGTCCAAAGTGTACTGAATAGTAATTTGAAAGATCTTTACTTACTTATAGTAGTAACCTTACCCTTACACTATCTCTGTAATAATATACGGAACAAAAACAAGCTCTATTATCCAAATATTTCTAAGCATATTCTAACATCGGTACTTCAGGGTTATCAACAAAATCGCACTTTTTCTTGTTAATATTTTCAACAATTTTACTAAAATCCATATCTTCTTTTGGCTTGCTAACTTCCAAATATTCAACCCGCTTCTCAGTTTTTAGATTTTCATCTTTATGAATTGATTTTTTCAACGGCTTGTAGTTCAGTCGGGGTAGTTTCAATACCAAATGACCTAAAAATCAATTAATTTAATTAAGACAAAATTAAAATTTGCAAAATCAGTGACCTGTTGTTTGGGATCGTTGCGCGCTACTTTTATCCACATGAATTTCCTCGGCGAAAACTATTTGGAAAATTTTGCCTTTCACGGTAAGTTTTACGTAAATCGGTTGTAAATCCACATCGACTAAATTAGTGTCCAGATATTTGTACAATGCGACGTCCAGGATAAAATGTTCGGGATCTTCATCAGAGAAAGTAAAATTCAGTTTTGCTTGGTTTACATTTAATGGTATGCCATCTTTATTGAAAAGCCTGAAATGTTTCTTGTACAACAATATTATTTTATAGGAAATCGTTTTTTTTTTTACCTAACAGTTCTCTTCGTTATATTTTCAGTTACAGCTCCACTAGATTGTTCACCTTTTTTTTGTCTTTTAGCGATTTCAAGTCGCGTTTCTGGACTATTTTCTCCAACAGTTTTCCAAAATTCTTCATCACTCAATCGTGAAGTGTCGTTAATTAATTGGCGCACTTTTTGATCTTCTCTGAATTTTCTGCAAAACACTTTCAAGTTAAGTGACTAAAAAAAATTAGAAATTATTCACCTGTATTTGGTCTGACAACTTTTAATCTGCTCCTCAACTTCTTTGAGTCTTTGTTGGGCTTTAATGCGTTCGCTTTTAGTAATTTGCTTTATGTCCAAGCTTTGAAGTTGCTGTAAATGCGCTATCACGTACTCTCTGTAGCCTTTGTAATCGCAACATGGATTTCCAGTTAAATACAAATCCTTCAAATGTATGTTCCTTTTGAGGTTTTTCACAGATTCCAAATCTCCAATAAAGTTTAACGTCAGGTCTAATTTGTTAAGGGATTCGCATCTTTCCAGATTTTCGATTTTCTCAATGTTATTTATGGCTAAATTAAGGTATTGGAGTTGTTTTAGTTTGTTCAAGTTTTCGATTTTCGATATTTGATTGGCTTGTAAATAGAGGATTTGTAGGTTTTTGCACCAGTTGTTCAAGTGCTCGATTTTTTCAATGTCTTCTTGATGAAGGGAGAGCTCTTCCAAAGTTCCAATAATACCTGGAAGATTTTGATAAAAAAATGTCAAAATTGTTTCAAAAAAATACCTTCATTGTGCTCGGATTTTTTCCTAACTAATTCTTCCGTAATTAATACCATTTTTGACAAATTTATTGATAAAACTTGCCTTTGGATACACATAGCAACTCCAAGCTAACAACGTTGCCGAAATGTGGAATTGATAAAACTTACCACTTGATTAGTTATCCACTTTTCTGGTAATAAAGAAACAATTATTTTACTTCTGGTGGTGGTTCATTGAGGAAGGGTGAAGGGTGAACAGTTTTACAAAAAAAAAAACTATGAAGCGTATTTGAAGACAAAAGTCACAAATCTAAGAACAGGCAAAAATGGAGGAAACTCATATTTCTTCATTTAAAATCCAGAATAAGCTTGGGTATGATTTCGTGATTATCCTTATGATTTTTTTATGTAAATTAATAAAGTGCCAGCAAAATCGAAAATAGAGTACTTCTGTTTGGTTCTCGCCTTCCACAATGTATTTTCCCCAATAATATAAAACAGACTTTCCAGCATAGATTTCCTCAATTGTTTCTCAGGTTGACATGACTTAAATAACCGGAATGCCAAGGTCTATTTTTAAAAAATATTATTTATTACGAAAATTACATAGATCAATAATTAAAAAGCATAGAGCGAAAGCTTCAGACTGACCGAGGCGAAGCGGCGTGGAAACTAGTTTTGTATCTTCTTTCTTGCTGAATGTGCAGAATGTGACTTGGATTTTACGTGGTATTATAGGGGTAGATGGTCACATAATTCTTTCCTCCTAAAATTCAACTTCGAGGGTTAGCGTGGACGTTGAACCTCTGAAAGTTGAGTGGCTGGTGCTTCTTGGTTTCTTTTCTTGATGCATCTTGGAACGATAAACTTCTTGTAGCAGATATAGATAACTGTAAAAATCAATAATACATAAATTAAGAAAGTCCATGGGCTTGGAGTCTGGCCCAGTAGGTCCATTTGGATATTGGCCTTATTGCTTAGTATTTGACTTCTAATGGCGTAAAGTTCATCGAGCCGAACATTTTCCAATTCTATGTCGAATTTTGGCGTTTCTTAGGATTGGTTGACTTCTATTTTCGACAACAGGATCAATTGGCTCGTGGTTATTGGTTTTTCGTTGGTGAAGGTTCCTAGCCTTGTTGTTATTTGGCAATTAATGGGTACATCAAACAGGTATGTACCAATTGGTCGGATTGTTTCTTCTTGGGTGTTGCAAGTTAACTTAATACTTTCTTGGCGTGGGAGTAAACCAATAAACTGATTGGTATCTCCAATACGTTCTAGATTCAATTTGTTAATTGAAATTTCCTTATGATTTTCTACGTAATCGCTGATTAGTAGTTGATCGAGTTGGATGTCTAAAGGATTATTACTCGAAACATGGCCATTTATGATATCAATGGGTCTAAATTTTGTTGCAGCGTGTATTGTATGATTGTAGCCTAATATTGTGTAAATCATTTTTAGGTGGACTGATGGTGTTTTAAGAAATCCGCGGGTAATTAGAATTCTTACGTTTCCTAAAAGTGTTGAGTGGAATCTTTCAACAATACCGTTTGAATCCGGGTGATTTGGGCAAATGAAATGATCTTAATTTTGTGTAAACCAAGTAATTCAGTAATCAAGAGATTCTTAAATTTTCTGCCATTATCTACAATAGGTAATTTGTTTTGGGATAGAGTGATGTGAAAAGTAATTTAATAGGCGGTCGGCGACCACGACAGATTCTGCTGATTCAATTTGATATGCTTGAGCATACTTAGAAAAGCTGTCGACGATAGTTAAAAATTTGGTTTTTTCGACTGTAAAAACATCCTTGTGGACGACTTCAAATGGTCTATTAGCATTGGGTGTTACGTTCATTTTCACTTGTCGTATTTACATATCTCACAAGTATTTATATAACTTTGTACTGAATTTTTCAAGTGAGGCCAATAATATACTTTGATTTAATTTGCCTTTCAGTTTCTTCAATCCCTCTATGATTGTTTTTTCCCTCGTGATAGTTTTTTATGATTTCCTGAATATCGTCTTTATTAGTAACGTCCATTAATTTAATTTGACAATAATTTAATTTTAATGAAGGCCATTTAAAATATTTGCTCACAACCTCGCAAAATGGTTCATATATTTCTCGATTTTCAAAATATAAGTGATATTGAACATCAGGAGTAACATAATCTTTCATAAAGTTTAGAATGTCATTTTCAAAATTACTTTGTGAGATTTGTACATTTATTCGTTTTTTCTTCCTCTGAGGTTTTTTCTTTTCGAATAACATGGTAATTTTTGTTTTTGCTGGGGAATGTGATACTGATTTAATAATAATTTGGCGAGCGCCGTAATTTACAGGAATTTTAGCGATAGGTATACCTACAATGGGATGTTGTTCGGCATTAATATGAACAGTCACGTAATTTTCGTCTAGGGCGTTCAACTCTCTTTGCTCTCTATCGTTATCAGGTTGGGAAATAATGGAAAGATTGTCTTGGTCCGGGTTTGCTTTGTTCGTGAACTGATCAGCATTTCGATTAGAAGATTGTAGGGATTGATTGAACTCGTCCATGTATTGACTAATATCAAAACTATCTGTGGTCTCGTTGGCGTGAATTTCGACACGGGACAGGGCGTCGGCGTTAGTATTTTATGACCCTTTTTTATAGAAGATTTTATAGTCGAATTCTTCAAGCTTAATTCGCCAACGAAGTAGTTTCGCACCCGGTTCTTTCAAAGAAAACAACCATTGAAGAAGCTTATGGTCTGTTACTATATTGAATTTTCGGCCATACAAATAGGGCCGGAAATATTTTGTTGCCCATATAATACAAAGAAGTTCCTTCTCGATGGTGGAATAATTTGCTTCGCTATCATGTAAGATTCGGGAAGCATAGGCTACAGGTAAATCATTTCCGATAGGCCTTTGAGACAGGACTGCACCAAGTGCGACATTACTAGCGTCAGTGTTGAGATTGAGAGGTTTTCAAAAATCTGGGTACTGGAGGATGGGCTGATTTATTAGAAGATTTTTTACAGGTTTCGAAGCATTTTACAAATTTGGGATTGTGGTCAATAATAGCACCTTTCTTAAGACATTTGGTTAAAGGTTTGGTTAGTTTTGCGAAATTATTGACGAACCTTCTATAGTAACCTAGGAGTCCTAGAAAACCTTTGATTTACTTCGTCATTTTCGGGATAGGGTAATTTTTATTCGCCTTTATTTTGTCTGGGTTTGGCTTAACACCAGAGGGTGTAACCACGTGTCTCAGGTATGCTACTTCTCTACGGAAGAATTTCGACTTATCTAGTAGGAATTTGAAATTCGCTTGTCTGAGTCGTTCGAAAACATTTCTTAATTTTTCAAGATGTTCCTGAAGGGAAGTAGAATATATTATTATGTCGTCTAAATAAACAGCGCATTCTTCGTTCTGTAATCCGCGTAGCACGTTATCCATAACGCGCTGGAACGTGGCGGGGGCGTTTTTGAGTCCAAAGGGCCTTCTTAGATATTCATAATGCACGTTTTCACAATTAAAAGCTGTTTTGGGAATACTTTTTTCATCCATTTGAATTTGATGAAACCCACTCGCAAGGTCTAAAGTGGAGAAATATTGGCATTTGCCCAGTTTATCTAAAAGTTCCGTAATTCAGGGAAGCGGGTATTTATCGTCCACGGTCTTCTCATTAAGCTTGCGGTAGTCGACAACTACACGCCACTTTTGCTTACCGCTTGCATCGAGTTTTTTGGGGACAATCCAAATTGGTGAGGACCAGGGCGAGTTGCTAGGTCTTATTATATTTTGGTCTAAAATCTTTTTTATTTGATTCTCGACCTCCTGTTTGTGAATGAACGGGTATCGATAGCTTTTAGTATAGATTGGGCTTTCATCGGTGGTGTTGATAGGGTGTTTTATGTCATTTGTAAAAGTGAGGGGTGTATCGTGTATATAAAAAATATCTGAGAATTCTCTACATAATTGCGTGATTTCAATTTTTTCTTCAGAACTCGTATTTTTTTTTTCTATTTTGGTGTCATATCGAAGTCTTTTCGACACTAAAAGTAGTTTCGAAAAGAAGCTCTTTGTGACACTCCTTTTTTACTTATCGGAGGTTGGTAACACTAGCTGACTGATGGCCATCGAACTGTCATTCGCGATTTTATGATAGAATATTTCTATATTTGGCATGTAGTGTTACCAACCTAAATATATGAAATCGAAATGTGAGAATAAAATTTCCAAGAAAAAATTGTTTTTTTTAATTAAACAATACCAAAATAGAAAAAATAGTATAAAATATTCGTTTCATAAGACATTTTATCGCACTTTAGAAAACTCGCCTCCGGCTCGTGCGATAAAATGACGTCTTATGAAACTTGTATTTTAATGCACTATTCTGATTAATTTGGAAATATCGATTTCGGAGTTTTCAAAATTGTCAATATAATTTAAATCAATTTGTTCAGATTCTTTTCTTTCGAAATTTTCGACTTTTATTGGTTCAGAAAGATCCAGGTTTACTCTATCTATAGAATTGTTCAAGATAGTTGTGATGGATACGCCATTCCTGGAGATGGATAGACTTTCGGGAATTTCGCAATTACCTAGTCTTTGGTATGGTATGACAATTTCGCCATTTCTTATAGAAGTTTTTATTTTAATGACTTGTTCGGATCGTGGGGCTACACTTATGTGGTTTAGGTTCATTATTGTACTTTGATAAAGAATTTTAATTTCATTATATGGTGTGAATAAAATTCCTTTACCAAAATCGATATTTGTTTGCAGAAATTCTAGATTATCTAGTCCAATTAATCCATCGAAAGTGTCATGAAATTTAAATAGGAAAAATTTCAAAAAAACAGGTTCAGATAAATTATAGTTATTTATGTATGAAGTGAATTATGAGGGTGTTAATACCCCAGGGCAAAGTTTGTGACATCAATTGTCCGTGGGTATTAATACCTGATAATTCCCGTGGTACATGGATAATTTTATTTCCTACTGAATTTACTGTATTTTGTCCATTTTCATAAAGGAATAAACCATAAACCAAAATTTCACCTATTGAAGGAGTTAAGGATTTCCATAACTCCCGCTTTTACCTTGAATAGGTAAAACTTTGTAAACTTTATAAAAATAGACAAAATATAGTAAATTCAGTAGGATATAAAATTATCTATGTACCACGGGAATTATCAGGTGTTAATACCCACGAGCAATTGGTGTCCCTCGGGCCAGAGGCCCTCGGACACAAACGTTGCCCTGG